GCCAGGCTGGAACTTCCAGCTTAATCACACTCCTTAAATCCCATGCTGCAATTAAACCAGGATCATCTGCAAGGTCCTGAAGGGATGACCCAGCACCTCTAGAAAATGCTTTTGAGATTAGGGATTCTTCCCACTCGTTCCAGAGCAGGAAAACACGATGGCGTTAAATCCTTGTGGTATGAAATCCTCACAGGGCAAAGTCCCAGAGGTTCCTGGAGAACTTGTGTGTCCTCTGAGGAGATATTTGATGTTAGCCATGGAATCCCAGAATATTTTGGGTTGGAAAGAACCTTTAGGATTATCCAGGGACACCTTCCACTGTCCCAGGTTGCTCCAAGCTGCCCTTGGACACTTCCAGGGATCCTGGGGCAGCCACAGCTTCTCTGGGAAATCCATTCCAGCCCCTCCCCACCCTCCCAGCCGTGTCTGGGCTGTGTCTGGACCCCTCCTGGTGCAGCTGTGGGCGTGGGGTGACCTCCCTGGTGAGATGATCCTCTGAATTCCAGGGGGACGCTCAAGTGGCGCGATGGACGCAACCACGTCGGGGATTTCAAGGAGGGCTTGGAGCACGGGTAAGCCCCGGGAAAGGGGGGGTTCCTTGCTTTCAAACCTTGCTGAGAAACGGTTCCTTCCCCTCAGAGGGACATCTGGCTCAAGCTGAAGATGTTGTAAAGATGGAGAGAGAGGGTTGGTGGTGACTACAAGGAAGGACCCGTGGGCAGATGAGCAGTTCAGTGCAGGCATTTCTATCCATGTGGACATTCACATGGATAAACCTGGTCCCTGATCTCTAAATCTGTGTTAATCCATTCCAGGAAGTGCCTTGAAAAGTTATTTTTAGGTGGCTTTGAAAATTTTCTTTGAAGTGAGGAGTTTTCAAGGGTGAGAAACCACGTTGGGAAATTCAAGTGTTATTCATCTAGTTTTGAGGAGGGTTTTTTTTTTTTTTGAAAGTAAGCCTTTTAGAGGCCTCCCTTTTACAAGAATTCCAGAATAGGTGAGAGTTTTAAGGGGGGGAAAAAAATCAATCTCAGATACTTCGTGTAAGGAATAAAAAACCATTTAATTCATCCCCTAAACTGGGGAAGGGTAAAGAGAGGGGAAAACAACAACACTGAAAGTGAGTCTGTAGAAGGCACAATGAGTGCAGCTTATGAGGAGATGAGCTTTTCCTTGGACCAAGTCGAGGTGACCTTGGATTTAGTGACACCTGATGTGTCAGGGGCAGAGTTGACCCCAACCCCATAAATCACATTGGAAACCTGGAGGTCCTTGGCTTTCAAACTTCATCCAGTACAGCTGAGTTGCCTTTTTCCCTGCTGGCCTCTTCCCTGGGCCTCTTCCCGTGTCATTGCAGGTTTGGGATCTGCCTTGTCCCCCGCCAGGCTGAGGACAGGTATGACTGTTACAAGTGCCACTGGTACGAGGGCAAGATGAGAGGCTACGGAATCTGTGAGTAAGTGACACCCACAGATGGATCCTGGGGGAGGGGGGAAAAAGGGATGTTCCAAAGGGTGGGATGTGCCCATCTCATCCCACCTGCTGGGAATTTGGATGGAGCCTGTTTTGGAAAGCACTGGTTGTGGCTCCAGAGAATCCCAGAAAGGGTTGGCTTGGAAGGGACTTTAAGGATCGTCTTCCTGTGAAGAAGGTGAGAGAGAGTTAAATCCTGCAGGTACGGGAATGACCTGGTCTACAAAGGTTACTTCAAGGACAACGTGCGCCAGGGCTTTGGGATCCTGGAGAACTTCTCAGCTGAGCATCCCTTCAGATACACAGGACAGTGGGAAAACGACAAGAAGAGCGGATATGGAGTCTGGGAGGACAAAGACAGGTGAAGGTGGGGTGGGTCAGAGGTGGCTTTAGTGGGACACGTGGAAGTTGTGGTGCATGGAGCGTTCTATGAGGTGAAACTGCCCTCGTGGAAGGACACATTAAATTCATTAAGATCTCAGAAAACCTGGGAAAAAAAAAAAAAACAACAAAACAACCATAATTTGTTCTGTGTTGCATTCCAGAGGGGAGAGATACATAGGGACGTGGCTGGATGATCACAGGCATGGCCAAGGCATCGTGGTGACCCAGTCAGGGGTCTGCTACCAGAGGACCTTCCACGCTGATAAAATGGTGGTGAGTGCACAGTGTCAGTGGGCTCTGCCAGGCAGGGGGTGTGGAACCTGCCAGCAAGGGAAAGATTAGTGTTTCACTCCTTAATTAGTCTGTGAGGGCAGTTGGAAGGCAAGAAAGGGAGATCTCAGGGAAAGGTTCTTCCCCCAGAGGGTGGTGGGCACTGAACAGGCTCCCCAGGGCAGGGGGTGGAACTGGATGTTCCTTGAGGTCCCTTCCAACCCAAACCAATCTGGGATTCTGTGACACTCCATCTCTCTTGGAGATCATGAAATCTTCCCCTTTCCAGCGTCAGTTTTCCCGTGCCAAGTGTTGGTGTCATTGCAAGTCCAGCTGTCGGTGGGGGGAGCAGAAGGAACTGGCATCGCTCAGACTGGCAGAGGAATCAAAGCTCTGCTTCTCCTGAAAAACACGAGCTAAAAGCAACAAACAACCCCTTCCCCACTCACCAAATGAGGGCAAAGTGTTTTGCTGTGGAAACCTGGGTGGGGTTCTAGCGAGGAAACCATTCCAGTGGAAAATGCGTCACAGCTCGACAAGTGACCACGTTTTCTGGCTGCTTTGGGTCCCTACAAACGTCAGGGCCTCTTGGTGCTCCTTCCCTAAAAAATGTGCTCCTGAAAGCAGAGTGGGATTGGGGAGGCAGTTTGAGGAATGTTTGGGAGCAGCTCTTTAAAGCCCTGTTGACTGCACAGCAAGGGATGAAGTGAATTCCAAGATTTAGGCTGGAATATTAGGAAGAGTTTCTTCCCCCAGAGGGTGGTTGAGCACTGAATGGGCTCCCCAGGGAAGTGGTTGTGGAACAAATCCTGCCAGAGCTCCAGGAGCGTTTGGACAATGTTCTCAGGGATGTGGGGGGATTGTTGGAGTGTCCTGGGCAGGGCCAGGAGTTGGACTGGATCATCCCTGGGGGTCCCTTCCAGCTCAGGATATTCCCTGATCTTGTTTGCTCTTAATCACTTTTTAAAGGGTGACACACTTGGCTCCAATCACCTCCAAAGTCCTGGGATTGGGAGCAGCGTGAGTGTGACCCCTGTGACAATTCCTGGTGACCCTTCTTACCACAGGATCCTGCTTTTTCCTCCTTTTGCTGGGAAAACTAGTCCAACAGTTGTTCCAAACCCCCCAGGACTTCCCATGGGGTGTCTCTAGAGCATCTCCTTCCTCTTGAGCATTGAAATCAGATGTTGGGCTTTCAAAAGAGATCCTGGGAATCTTCAGCCCCTAAATGGTCCAAGCCAGTGATTGTTCCTGAAGGAACTTGAGCAGGTGGGAAGTTCACGGCCTGATTTCATTCCTTCTGCTTCCAACTGAAGGGTCCTGGGATCCTGCTCCTGGAGGACGACTCTGTCTACGAAGGGAACTTCACGGAGGATCTGACCTTTGTTGGGAAGGTGAGAATTCCTTCCTCCAGGCCTTTCTTGACCCCCACATGGATTCATCTCCCACAGTTTCTTGGTTTCTGCATCACATCTTTCCATATTTTCCACACTTGCTCGATTCCCACGTGGATTCATCTCCAAAGTTCTCCCCTTCCTGCTCCACTTTCCCCCAGTCTGCTGGAAAATCCTATTTTCATGGGGTTTGGGATTATTTTTGTCCTTCATCAGTGTCAGTAGAGGAGCTTCAGCTGAAAGACTTTGGGGGGCTTTGGGAATGGTTTGGGGGTTTAATGTTTGATTTACATTCAGGGTCTTGAGGTTTTGGGTTTTTTTGGGGGGAGTTGTTTGATTGGTTGGTTATTTGATGGGTTTTATTTGGTGCTTTTATTTGGTGGGTTTTATTTGGTGGGTTTTGTTTGGGGTTTTCTGGTTGGGTTTTTTGTTAGGGATTTTTTGGTGGTTTTTTTTGGGGGGGTTGGTTTGGGTTTTTTTGTATGTTTGGCATTTTTATTTTTTTTTTGTTTGGGGTTTTGGTTTGTTTTTATTTGTGGGGGGTTTTGTGGTTTTTTTTGGTGGCTTGGAGGTTTTTTTGGTTGCTTTTTTTGTATGTTTTGGTGGTTTTTTTTTGTTGGTTCTTTTAATTTTTTGCTTGTTTTTTATTTCATTGGTTTTCTTTTTTTGTTCTGTATTTCCTTGGGTTTTGTGTCATTTTTTGTGGTTTGGTTTTTTTGGTTTAATTTTTGTTTTGCTTTGGTTTTTTTTGGGGGGGGGTTGGTTTGTTTTTCATTTGGACTTGTGGTTTTGGTTTTTTTTTGTTTGTTTGTTTGTGTTTTCTTTGGTTCTTTTCTTTGGGGTTTTTTGCTTGGTTTTTTTTGTTTGTGGTTTTTCTAGTTATTGGAGTTTTTCTGGTTTTGTTTCTTATTTGCTTGGTTTTTGTGTGGGTTTTTGTGGTTTGGTTTCTTAGTTTTGTTTAATTCTTGTTTTACTTTGAGTTTTTGGTATGTTCTGGTTTTTTAGGGTTTTTTGTGTTTTGTTTCTTTTTTTTTTGGTTTTGTTTTTTTTCCAGGCTTTTTGCTTGTTTTTCATTTGTGGTTTTCATTTGTGTTTTTGGAGGGGTTTTGCTTGTTTTTGTTCAGTTTTTTTTTTTTTTT